TTAAACCTATATAGTAAGCGTCTTTTAGAGAAAACCCTCTTTCACAGCCAAAGACTAACTTCTTTCCTAGCCAATCTGTCAAAATTGCTGGAAGACACAACATTCAAAGAATCTGCTGGACCATAATGTTTGTAGCATTTTTGGCAAAGAAAACGTGATTAGGCTATTGGATCACAATATATATTTTTATCATCCTAAAGCAATGTTTAGAATAGATTGCTGGTCTGGGGGATTTGGGCCAGGCAAGGATGATGACCAAGTAGGGATAGCAGTTCTTTGGGCTTGGGAGACAGATAAAAAGTAGTGGACCAAAGGACTGTGGCTATAAGTCAATATAACAAGGTGATGGGAGCCAGGTTTCTCGCTGTGCGAGAAAAGAGTAATATAGAAAAGAAGAAAGCTAGGATGAACCCTGTGGTACAGCAGTAGGATTAGAAGTTTTGGAGCCAGATGATGGTGCAGTGGTAAAACTCTGTGAGGCTGGACCACACAGGAAGATCCCAGATTTGCTTCTGGAGACCTCACTGCGTAAATTGGCTGCACACATACCCATGATCCTGGGCTAACTGAGGTTGGGGGTGGATTGTAGTGTCAAGACCCTTGTGGAGGTGCTCTCTCTTTCTCTCTCTCTCTCTGTTTCTTTTGCTTATGAAAAAAATGAAAGAAATAAGAGAATTGTAAGTTCTGGCACAAATTTACATATGCAGAGTTAGATATAGAAATAAATGTAGATGTCCATTTCTGTGTGTATGCATACACATTGTATCTTTTTATATGTGTGCACATGTATTGACATACGAATGTGTTTCCTCTCTCTGACCCTGAGAGAGCTTGGAAGAAGGAAAACCCCAACAGCAATGAATCTACTTAGTGCCTAGATTTTGGCTTTTAGAAACCATTCTCCACTAAAATGAACCAGGATTCTTTAGATAAATGGCTGATCCTACAACTGGACCAGGAAAAATGTGAGATAAATTTAGAATATCTTATTACAGAAGGTAAGCAAGTAATCCAAGAATGAGGAGAAATGTCAAAAGATACAGAAGATAGATCAAAAGGGTGCCAGTTGGTCCATTCTCGAAGCTTTCAGCCTCAAAATAATCATCGTATCAGATTATATCCTAGTGATTAAATTAGACATCTATTTATATAGTCTATCTACCCATAATAAGTGACTATATAAATGTTCTTTCCTATGGTAAGATGCTGGCTATTAAGAGTTGAAGGAATTATGGATTTAGCAAAGCACAATTTGTTGAAAACAGTTACAGACACTGAAGACAGTGTGGAAGGAGAGTGGGAGAAGGGAAGAGTATAGGGAAGGAAATCAGGGAGAAAAAATTGAGAGGTAAGGCATTTGTGGAACACAGAAATGATTATTACCTATTGATGATAACATGTATAGTATTTTCAACTGGACTAGTCTGAAGTATATTTCATGTTGGGTAAATTCTTTTCACAAGCAATCAAATATATATATATATTTAGAGAGAGAGAGAGAGAGAGAGAGCACAATTTGAGACACCTT